AAAGGATAACATGGAATCGCTTAGCACACCTGTCACTACGAAACAGAACTGAATGTTCCGGGAGCTTGAATTTTTCCGTAATTTTATTTATTATGTTACTTTGACAATTCGAATGAAAAGGATTTTTGTAATTAGCGTTTGTTTTAAATTAATTGATCAATCAGAAGAGATCATTGATTAGTTATAATTTTGCTAATGGTTTTGTTGCACACATCAAACTAAGATGTAATTTTAATAGTTTGTGATAAAATAAAGATTTATGGTTACCGCCTTTATTTAATGTTTGCTTACTTCCGTCATGTAATACGATTCATAAATTAAAATTAAAAAGTTACTTTCATCACATATTTTCGAAAATGCATATCAAAATTACAAAATTACAAATTGATATAAAATTAACTTTGAGTATAAAAATATAAAAATTTGATTGCTTTTGTAGAAAAGAGAAAACCATTGGGTCATAAGATTACTCATTCAATAAATAATCAACTCACTACTACTTTCTATACTTACTACTCTACTGTCGAATAAGGTAATAACAAAAAGACTTGTATTCGATCACTCTCTAGGTAGTTGGGAAAGTTATTCCATTTAGAAATCGATAAAATTAATTCTCCATAAAAGAAATGTAAACTGACGGGGACAACTACAGTTTGGTTGAAAGCATAGCGTAAATGAAAACAAAAACTGTTAGTAAAGGAAGCTATAGTTTAAGAATGTGAAAAAAGATAATTTGATGACAATTTATAAAAGATTTACCAGAGTATAGAATGATCGAATAGAAATGTTTTAATGAGCTAGACTTGCTAAACTGTAATGATAATTAAATGAAGAGTGGTAAATATGTCATTTAATTTTTAGTTGTTATCAATGTAGTTATCAGCAAAACAACAAGCCTTTAGACTTAAGTTTTTTGATTAACATAATCTCCACGAACATTACAGAATTATACTGTTTGGTAGCAATTTTGAAAATGTTCATTCTACTCACTTAATTTCCATCTGCAGTAGATTTCACACAAACTGTCTAAAATGGTTGCTCTTACCTCTGAAACTAAGGTTCCTCAAAATACGTTCTGTCGGTGGATCTTAGCCTTCATTCAGTTTACGTGCATTTATACGCATAAGTAACTTATTTGATATTACTAAATATATGTCCCAGGTGTTCGTGTACTTGTGGTTACAATAGTGAGTGTAGTATTCTATCTTTATCGACTTAACTTCAGAAAATGCACAAACCATTTGAGTCTTCTTAAGTATATCAACTTCTATCTTTGTGTGGCATTTCCTGTCATTTCTTTATAAATCAGAGGAGATACACCTTCTATGATTACCTGATTATTTAAAAATAGAAAAACTTCCAAACATTATATATGTTTAGTTACTTTTTCTAATCCGACATTGTTTTACTGATCAACTTTTACAATTATGTGTCTTTGAAGCGTTTAAGTAACTAATAATCATTTCCTTTATTCAGGTTTGTGTCTACCTATATGAAATAGAAATGTCCATCACTTTCCATCCAGGTCCTTTTCACTATCATTGATAAAAATCGTAATAAAAAGTAAACTGAGAAATAACACGACTCGTAAGTCTGGAAGCTATTTTCAAAGTGGGATTATTTGTGATCTAGGATTTCTTCACAAAAAATGATTCTCTGTGAATTCAAATGTCTCCTATCAACAAGAGTGTATAAGAACTTTCAGCAAACAAAAAATGAGGCACAGCTGGAAAACATTAGTTGTCATGTGTCTGTAAATTGTACTAGTAATGAGTCAGTTGTGATAGAAACTGCTTTGAATAAACTAATTAATCCTAAGTAATATTTCTGCTATTAACTAGGTGGTGTATAGAGTAATATGCGTTAGAATAGTCCTTTTGAAAAATTGTTTTCCTCTAGACACCACAGTACCAATAGATCGACGTTTGCATTGCAAAAGCACTTTTATTCATAAAAATATTTAAGTTCTAGCCAGATGAAAATGTAAGACTTTATATTATCCAGTTTATTGATGATCATGCCTTTTTTATCGTTTAATAAGACCTTTAGTTTTGTTTAAAGTTGTTCATAAATTTCAGTGCGCTCAAATCTAAATTTATTTCATTGGAAGTGAGGTGGAAGGCGATTTGCCACTTTGATTTAAGGATTACTTTGAAATGAATATGGATTAAAAATAGCAATGTGCAATTCAAATACAAAGTGATAACACGCCGAAAAATGAATAAGAAATAAAAATTAGTTGACAGATTGCCACCACCACAAACACCAATGAGTTGGAATCTGGTTTGGATAATTTTGACTTTAATTATCATTTTAGTAACATACTAGAGTTTGTCAACGTTAAATAAATTGGTAGTCTAAATAGTTGACGTATTTTATCTTTTTTAAAAATTTTGGATAATCATTGCTTTAGAAAGTACTTTGAAATACCGAAGAGCTACACGTAGGACACCCAGTTTTTTGCAGACTGATGATCCCACACTTCTAATAATTGGAAAGTTAAATAATATGTAATCTGTAAAGATGACTAATTCACTGTGCAGTAGAAGTGAAATCCCCCTGCTAAAGATTGCTAATGATGATTAGTTCTTTGAAAAAATGACCAGGCCCGAAAACATGTAATTCATCTAATATTAATCTCAACATTGACTGGTTATTTGAAAATAATGATATGTGAAAACCAATGCCCCTTATCTAGCTTAGGATATTAGCTAAATATATTTGATACAAGTCAGTCAATTAAGTTATTTTCTTTTTTGTTCCTGAATGGTCTCTGTGGTGCATTGTGTTTTTGTGCAAGCTTTTGGTTATCATATAGTTCTCTCATATTTCCTTCTCGTTTGTTGTCAGGTCCTCTGCATATTTCCACTTGCTGACCGTAATGCTCTTTCTTCTGTGCTCGTTTGTTTGTTTCTGCATATCTAGTATATTGCTCGGATTTTTCTAGTCTTCGTAGGCTATTTTAGATTGCTGTCTTCTTCCTTTTCCTTTCTGGAATCTTGCCAGGTCTGTCGATATAGATCCATTGATTTTTCTAATCTTTCATTGGTTTAAACTCTGTCTGAAATGTTGATCGCATTGCTACTGCTATACCTTTCTACTAGTTTCCTCTTTTGAAACGTGTAAATAACACTTACAGGAAATGTAGTCTAGACAGATATTTTACAAATGAATATATATATTGCTCTATGAAAGACCTCCGATTTTACCAATGTAACATTAAGTATCGAACAAGTCAGCTGAACAGATGAAGAGAACAAACAGGCATTGAAAACGGAGGTACAATGCTGAAACTGGATTAGCACGAGTACGGTGAAAATGAAAACCCCTTGAAAACAATCGATATAACACAACCGATTCCAAACTCTGTGACACATTGGTGATGAATGAAAATTACAACCAATTTTAATTTAATCATCATAAGTACGCACAAATGTTGCCCCATCAAATATAAATTAGTTCTCAGCTGTTATATTTATCAACATGCCTTGATTAACTCAGTTTTGTGAAGCTTCTAAAATTATAGTTATTCGAAAAGATACATATTTGGTTTTATCTAAACTAGCAAAGAAGTTGCTCATGTTTGTCTTTCGAAAACTTTTATGGATTGATAAACGTTTCTGCTTGTACCTAAAATGAAACCTGAACTTTTGAATAGCCATTATTACAATACCAATCATGAAAGTCGATAAACTTTGATAATCCTTACGAATGGACATCAGCTGACAAACAACTGGCAGGAAGTGAACGTTAAAAAGTTATTTCATCCAATCCACCAGAGATGGATCCTATGATTTATACATTTCATGGTACTGCCACGATTCAATCAAACAATTTCAAAAATGAGCATATTAAATGAGCACCTCTCAGCATATTGAGAATGAGAGGTCAACTTGAATTCTAAAGTTCAAATGTTCATCATCCATTTCATAGTGGACATAAAGTTGAAATTTCAAAATCCATTTAAAAGTAATAATGGACAAACATCGTCAATATCGTTTGCCGGAGCGATTGTTTTCAAAAGAATTACACCAGACTTAGATATTCAAAAGGATATTGTTTTCACTCTTGCTTCACCCTGGTGACTTAGTGAAAATTATTTGCTTGCAAATGAAAAATTAATTTGCTTTCTTAACATCCTTCGTTTGTTTGAGCCCCACTTTTATGATCAAGTCTTTTTTGTTATCTCAATACGTAGCTTTGAATAGCAATAATTTGTTCTTGAATCTTAAGATTATTTAACATATAAATGTTCTATCATTTGAACACCATTTACAATGCTTCACATTTAATGTAGTTTATTAATCCCCATAGATGACAACATTTCTAATATTATTATATAAAGCACATATACTGATTCCAATAATTTTAATTAGTATTGCTGTTATGTTTAGGTTGTATGCTGCTAATGAGAAATCGCAAAATAAAATAAATTCACTTTATTTTGTTACATTTGTTGTTCGTACTCTATTTGAATTTATCAGTGAGATAAACTGTTCCAAATTATTTGTAATAAAACAGAGAGGTAAGGTTAAAACTTTATAGAAATGCCAACACGTATTAAAGAATGTAACAATGTAATTAGTATGTCCCACTTGGTCTCAACCATTACACTAGGTGATGCAATTAAAATATAATTCATTCGTATTACTGTATTCACAATAGTGCAAACAAAATAATTAAATCCATGAGATAGCCTAAAAAACTGTTTAGGAAATCTATTTTTTTAATATTGTTGAGTGGGATCTAAGAGTTTGCTTTTCTCTCGATTAATGAATAAATATTTTATCAGTTAGTAATAAACCACTAACAATTTTGTGCGACATTATAGACTTCGATTGCCGCAGATAATCATGAAGTAAAGTAATACCTAATGATCAGTGATCTTAAGGAAAGTACACTTTAATCTTATTCATCATGAATAATTAATGATGCGCTTTATTTCAAAACCAACCAATCAGTAATCAGTATTCAACTAAAAAGATCAATATTTTGCTTACTCTAGCAGCCATTGAAGTTTGAGGTTTTTCAACCAAGTCCCATATATACTTTTGTAATGCAGCCAACCTTCCTGTACCAAACTGTTCTTCTTGCGCCTGAGATAAGCTTATTTCTCTCGTTTTTTTTAATTCTTCTTGGACTTGTTCCTTTTTCAGATAATATTTATAATAACAACATGTTTCTAATTGATATTCATCTATACCCCAGTAAAATAAATCATTTTTAAAAGCCACCACACAAATATCTTCCAGAAAATGTAAGTGTCCTGTACGATAAACACCAAGGATTGAACCAAATGAACGTGCATACCGATCAAAATATAATTCATTTTTCTCAACTGAGTAATTATCAAACAGCCGAGCTAGTTCTGCAGGATTATTTGAGATACTCAACCGACCAAGACGAGATAACGGTAGACGTCTGAGTGTCTTCCACATTACTTCATGTCGTTCACCGCCCACATTCAGTACGACACGACTATAATGCTTACGAGCTCGAAGAAATGCTGGTATGTTGACGGACGTTTCTAAGATGGCTGTTACTGAATCATGGCTATGTATTGAAATATGATCAACACTAGTGAGCTGATTATTTGACGCTGAACGACTTTTGGGAGTGTCTGTTAATTGTTTCAGGGGTCGATTTCGACCTAGAAATCTGCGTAAGCTTTTACAGAATGCTTTTGACTTTAATAAATTAGAATTTGTTGTTTTACGACATGGTTTCCGAAAAGTAAGTTCACCCTCATCACTGTTTTTAACATTGACATCATTTCCCGATACTCCATCATTAATTAGAATATTACTACCGCTGTCCAGGATAATGTTTTTGGTTTTAGTATGATCAACGGTGTTGTTTGTGGTGGAAACAGTGTCAGTAGTGTTTGCTACTGACGAATCAACTGTATGTGTATTATTATTATTCCAGGCGATTTCCATTGATTACATATTCCAAGATAGTAGTCTTCAGTAGGAAAGCAGATAGTTGTAAAGTTATAAATCTGTATTTTTACATTGATTGTCCGTATCGAGGTGGTTTTGGTTTTTCATTAATTTATCCCACAGTCTCAAAATGTATAAAATTTTTCACTGAATTCGTTTACATGATTTTATGAAAGCAATGTTTTGAAATCTGTTTTGTTAGAATAAAAGGGTCCTACATAAAACAATCTAGAATTTAAGTGTTTCCCATTTAGAGTGCAAATACTCAGTTCCTTCTGATAAAACCATAAGCTGCTAGAAGCACATTTCCTGCCAAATTTTTATTTGAACAAAAAGTATACAAGTGGTTAACTACGTAGGGCATAGTTGAACAAACATTCCTCATAAGTGACTACTTCAATTACACTGTTATTGTTTATATTTATGTATGTGTATGTGATAATGCCAACAGCATTAATGAGAGACGAATAAAATCTCACCGTATACCATGTCCACTTCACTCTATCGCCTTATAACTAAACCATCTTGCCTGTATGTACAGCTGTATGTATTTATCTGTCTACAAAAAGTTCATAACCAATGAATAAAATCTGACTAATTAAAACATAGGACAAAGTAACCAGTGTGTGGTAGATAGCCAAAGCTACACGTGATGCGTAAAGAATCTATTGGTGTAATTATTCACTCTTATCTTGCCTTTAATACAAATGGAACTAAATAAACTTGAACACTGTAATCAGAAAGAATTGTTCACCGGATAGAAACATCTTGTACAACTTCAATGTTTTTTCTAGTAATGTGAATATGTTTAATAAATTAGTTTTTTCTCCAGTCTGGTAATAGTTACATCCATCTTAGAACTTTCGATAGTACAGTATTTCAGTCGCTTGTTCATTTGGACAACTTAAAGTGTGGACATGATATATTTTAGCCGACTAACCACAATCCATCGGTCCATATTTTCCTACGTGAATCAAAATGAACTCTATTGAGAATTCCCTACATAGTCATGCTCTTTCACTTTTATTTGTTCAACTTCATAAATTGCGTTTTCTTATTAATATCTCCGAAAATACACTAAGTCGGTGGCTGCACTGATCAAGAAGTCCAATCTACTGTCCTGATTATGATTTATGAATTCAGATACTTTGAGGATATATAAACTGAAACTACGTTCACCTGTATGATTTATCCGTAAAATGATATTATTTATTGACACAGATAAAAATATCTGCAGATAATTGTGGAAAAAAATGGAACTGAGAAAAAGCCTATATTTCATGTCATTGTTTTTCATTCACTGATACCATAGATCAGAGTGGTCTTTTAGCCTCGCACGATACTATTTGTTGATCTACTACTGCTTTGTGTTTTTTGGTTAAGGCATTCAGGTGACAATGCGAAGTTCAATAGTTATGATGTGAAGTGCCGAAACCTGAAAACGAAAAGCTCAAATACCCCTTTAAAAATCAACTGCCTGCACGAGTTAGACAGAAAAGCGCAGAAGAAAAGGTAGATGTCCAGAGCATCTTCTATAGAGTGGTGATCTACTTGCGCGCTGATGTTCCGTTCTCTTAACTTAAGGCCGGTAGTATCGCATTTCCTCCGTGGACATCGCGCCAAGTGAAGTGAGATTCTTTCTTCGCAAATTAACGCATATATATATATACTATTAGGTGAGGCTGGATTCGAGGTTATCCCGTACGCTCTCAGAAAATTCTGGGTCATCTCTTCGGTCGTGCCCTCCCTTTGAGACTTGATAGGAGCTCACATGAAGATATCGACCGGCTCAGTCACGCCATTCTAGACTACACTCACCGTTACTGGCGAGGTAGGAATGGCATCTGACACAACTCGGCTAGCTTCTGTTTAAGCTTATTCTGCCACAACGACGCAATCCTCGTCGATTGGTCGGTTTGAGTCGATTAGTTTCGATAACGTATCAACCTGTCTCAGACTGATCGTCGACATGTATCTGGTGATGAGATCATAGCCAAGAAGAAACAGCCCACCACTGCAAGCGATTGTGGTGCCTTTCTTTGAAACGAATATTAGTAGAAGTGAAAAGTCGACTGTTAATCATCTTATAAAACTTTTTGACTGCAAAGGTAACTGCCAGTGCTTCTCTCCGTGTTTGATAATAATTATTTTTGAAAAAGGATAGCGTTCTCAATGCATGTGCAATAGCCTTCTGGGAACCATTTGGGAGATGTGTGGAATAACAGCTCCAAGTCCTTGATTCGATGCGTCTGAATCAATGATTATTCCGAGGTTAGGGTTGCAATGTGTTAGCAGCATATTGGATGACAAAATTTTCTCCATAATTTGAAGGTTCTTTTGAAATTTAGGTTACAACACCCCACTTCGTCTCTGGTCAATGCATTTAGAGGCGCGCGACGTTGATTCATAGATGGAAGGGATTGGGCGTAGTGACTGAATAAACCCAAAAATGATCGTAGGAGGTTGATGTCAGATGGTAGTGTCAGTTTCGGCTGTCATAGGGAGGCCTTGGAGGCCTTGACGTAAATTGTGGACATTAGACAGTCGATTTAGGCGGGAGCATTCTCGTGAGTCATGCATTAGGACGTTATCGATTCGATTTAAGCGAGAAGTTTTCATCGAGTCATATGATGAGAGATTAAAAGAACAAGGTATTTGACTAGAATTCGAACATTCAATCATCTTAGTGTCATTTTTAGGATTAATACTTTGACGACTTTTATTAGTCATACCTTCCAATGTAAAATTATGTTCTTCTGATTGTACTCTGCTCAAAATTCTAGTACAAATATCTAGATTCGGTGATGATAGCAATCCATACAAAGAATAAGACACTTAATTTCTTAGTCTGAAAGTGAGCGTAGCCTAAACTTTTCTCACTGTTTATTGACAAATCCAGCATATGTGACGAAATCATCCTCGACTTTCTTAATTAATCTTGAGACGATTATATCCCAAGGTAAGTAAATATGACTGGGTAGTAAAAATTTCTGCTAATTTTCGTACAGTAGTATCGAAAGGAAAGTCGGCTTTTTTGGCAAGGTAAGATTTGAACACTTTTCAGCTTCGGCTACTACTTCTGAAAAGTCATTATAATAGGAAAAATCAACGTGGAAAATATCTTTGTATCTCTTGAACCAAGATTCAAATATGACACCCGCATCAGGGTCGAAGTGCAACTCACTGGTCGAATTTGTCAGTGATTCGGCAGTTGAACCCCTTATCTCGAACATTTGGACTGACTTTTCTTGAGGCGAAAGCTTTTGTGTCGTCATTTCAAACATTTTCAAAGGAGGTGCCCTTTTTGCTGCTAATTAAAAATTGATTCAAGGTGATCAGCCAAGTGCAAGAGAATGTTATGTACAGATACTTGTCTAAATAAATATATGTCTTTGTATATTCACCCTTGGAAAAGGAAGCTGTTTTTGGAACAGTGTTAGTTATTCGTCCTATACTAAAATATCTGATAATATTCTAACAGCGTTTTAATTATATTGTAGTGGTTTACTTTTACGAAGAAAACACAATTGCTGAAATATAAACATTTATTATTGTACTTAATTCTTACAATAATTGTTATATTGTTCACCTCTTGTTTATATGTACAAAAGACTATCTCTCGCACCCCAAGCGTGTTATTCCCATTCTCCACTTCGCACGTCTCCTGAGTGTACGTTAGCCGTTTATACGCCCTCTTGCCTCGATATTATTTCGATATCACGAGGCCAGTATCAAATATACTTCTTCCTCTAGAATCTACTCCTTATTTGATTCTCAGGGTTCCGGGATTAACATTTGTTATCCCGCGAACACATATGTTGTACGAATTGCTATAATATAATTTCAGTGTTCGGTAAACTGTTCACTGTTCAATTATCTGCTTTTTAAACTATACTCGGTTTGGCTTGACATATAATTTTACTGTAGCTTGCGGATATTTCTCAGAAGCAACGTCTCCTTTTAACTGAGGTATGATACAGTTTTATGTTCGCATTCCGATTATAGAAGTTTTGAATTGATTATTCTAGTCTCTGTTGTACATCTTTGTTCCAATAAGCGATTATGTATTTTCCAAATTAAACCATTCTGAATGCCAATTCTGTAATATATTGGTCGGTTGTCACTACGGAACAGAAGTAACTAGAGAGTACTGTGGATTTATGCTGAGTAAGCCCTGTTCGTGGTTCTGGTATACCTGCCCATAGTGCAGAATGACTGAGCCAACGAAAAAATTAGCACTAGCGAAACCGCAGGTCCCACCAAAAATCAAACCGAAAATCCTAATAGGTAAATCTAAATTTTCGGCCCTAAACCAACGAAACAGGCGACAAAAGTAGCCATTACCCAAACCAACATCCCGACAAAACTGCTGGTTGTTGTTAATCCCCCGGTATTTGTTTGGAGTACGGAGTAGTGGGTGGGTGTAAAAAAGGCAATCGGCAACACTACAGCTCGCGAAATGTTACCATTTAGTGACAGGGATTTTAGACTAAATTCACTAATTTCATTTGATGTTTCAGTGTTAGGGGTAGCTTAGTAGACGGTAGGACTGGCTTTGATAAAGAACAGTGGGACAAGTACTGCGCAATCTTAAGAATGTGAAGTACCTCGGCCTTTTCGGAGGCCAGAAATTCATAAAATGTAAATCCCCTCCGATGAGGGTAACACTAAACTCAGTACAACTTGCCGAAGATATCCTCCTCACATCCCAGAGACCCTTGTTTAGCTGTTCGCATCGATCCGAGTCAGGCATGAGAATCCGTGTTCAATATGGTCAGCAGCCAAAACATCATTGGGCATCTAACAGCAAACCAGTATGGTAGTTTATGGTGTGCCCAAACTTACGGCGTGCATCAGTGGCCATGGTTATCATGCAGCATGAGCCTTCACACCACCTAGCATTTTCCGGCTGCGTCAGCCGTCACATCTCACGACCGTCAAGTCACCACGTTTGATGGCCGTGGATTTCAAAAACGGGAACACCTGATTGAGGTTCTGTAGGCTGGGCAAGGCATAAAGAACCATCTTTCTAGTCACATTAGGTGTTGCGTGTGCCGACCTAGATCTATGAGACAAAAACGCAGAGGCCAAAATAAGACCACACGAATCACAGTTGACGTCGATCGTCAACCCACGGCACTAGACACGAAGACAGTGGTCTCTCCCACTGAATGCACAACACAGATAAAACACCTGCAGAGGCCACTTTCCACTAAACTAGCCAACGCGGTTTAAGCAACTGGTTTGAAAATCCGACCTCGGCTGTTGTTGCAGAGCTGAATTAGCTGATGAGACAAACCACCAAGAGGACTAAGGGACAAGCTGTTAGAAATCAGGAAAAGGTGCTTTCAGATGGATCTGCAGATCATAATCCTAATTAAAACATGGCTCTCCGCTAACATTGCAGACGGAGAAGTGGGCTTGCAAGGCGTGACACTCTTCCAAAGCGATAGGGTATAAATATTCACAGCCACTTCAAAGCCAAAAGACTGCACAGAACCCAAATAACCACGGTAACAGAGTCACATTGGCATTGTTTCCACACAAATGTTACGAAATAGCTGATTGAAGACAATACTACAACTGCCACTCCTTGAGTTTGATCAAATACTCTTAGAGGGATATTTCAAAACTCCATCTCTAAATCTCAGCAATCAAATTCCAACTCACACTGGTTGGTTTCAAAGACGACTTAGCGCAGATATTAGAAGCTCTGGGTTGACTGAGCACGTGTGCAGTGTCACTAGATCGAGTGAGGAGGGAAAGTCCTCAAACCTGGATTATTTGCTGACAAATGACTAGCTCCTTGAAGAGGATGTTCAAGTCGATACACCAGTGGGGAGTAGTGACCATGGTAAAGTCTTGTTTCACATGGTCATATACGAAACACTTAAGCAGGAAGAAAACGAGCACTATCTGTGCTACAGCAGTGCGAATTACACGTGGATACAAGAGAATCTTCTGCATGCCCCATGGCCATGGGAATGGCGGAGGCTGACAGTGGGTGATGACTGACAAACAGTGGAACATATCATCCAGAATACTGTTTCAGACAATGTGCCTTAGGCGCACCACACGCGGAAGTAGAAGAACATGGGTTAGGCGCGGCAGAGGACGCTTACCTGATAAAAGTGGCAGGTCTTCTTGAAAGATCGAGATCCTGTTTCTTATTTGGCATCGAAAAACAGATGCGATACCAAAGTTCGTAGTCATAGGAGACGCTTTCATGTGAAGCTAGCAATCCAAATACAGGAAAACTATAAGTATCTGTTAAGGTTCATGACAAAAATTAAACTACGAATCAGGGTGTGTGTTCCCTAAAATGTCCGAAAGGAGAACACCTCACCAACCTACAGATGGATGAGATCTTCAGCCCAAACATCACGGATCAGTTAAATCAAGCATCCACATTTTCAGATTACTACTCAAACCCAATGCCAGCTGATGGCCTAGGGAATATCCGCATTACTTCTGACTTAGTACAAAGTAAACTAAAATCCTCACGCCTAGAAAAGTCACCAGGCTGTGATAATATTCGCCACATAGTCTTAAAACAATGTACAGAATCCCCCTGTTCACTGACATGTGACCTGTTTAGGGATTCATTGGAGTCACACCAACTCCCAGTTGAATAGAAACAAGCTAATATCACTTCAATCTTCGAAGGAGGAGATAGGTAGGACCTAACAAGTTACAAAGCAGTCGCACTGCTACCAATACTATCGAAGGTAATGGAAAGGCTGGTGAATGAACAGATGAGGGAGTACATGAGTGAGAATAAAATGTTCTATGAAGCTCAATGCAGGTTTCGGAAAACCGAGTCTTGCGCATCTAATCTTCTCATAGCCTGGGACATCTGAAAAACATGTTGGTACATAAATTTCCGGTGCACATTTCCTGACGTTAAACAAGCCCTTGACACAGTATCCCAAGCACGCCTAATCGTGAAGGTTGCGGAAATGGGCTTCACTGACCAACTCTTATCTTGGCTCAGAAAGTAACTTGAGTTTAGAAACCAGTCGAAATGTCAAATTATGTACATTCTGCCCCATATGGAGCAAAAGACTTATACTACCAACGGAATCCCGATCCCAAATGTCTCCTTGGAACGCGATCTCGGTTTACTAACTACTGAAAGCCTCTACACCAGTTCGACCTATATAGGGGCAGCAAACTAGGCTACTGCAACTCCACACCTTATACGAAGACAATTGGATGCTATCACCCCATTGTTATTCTGAACGTTGTTTAAGACATGTGTGTCCACACCTAGAGGTTCACAACGTTGTCGCACCCTCTCTCCCTAAAAGAGACAAAAACCTCTTGAACAGAGTGCAGAGACGAGCAACGAAGTAGGTGAAAGGGTTGAAAAATAAAACAAACTCCAGCATTTGCGATTATTCCTTCTGATGGTGGCTTATTAAGAACGCCAAACCATGTCAACGTGAGCATCTTAGCGATGCATCACCTCCACTCCCCTCGAGGTAATCCTACAACAGTTGCGGACCGAAGGGTGAACATTCATGTTCGTGCACTCTTTTCCTCGTTACGAGTCTTTGCAACTTTGAATGCTCTCCTAGCCGAGGTGACCACAGCCCCCTCAGAAGAGACTTGATAAACACGTGGACAAGTTGCGCCTGATGCACGTCTAGAGGCTAGCTAGTTGTTACCATCGGCATCTCCCCATATCACTAACCTAATCTGTCACGCTGATTTTCCTGTTTTCTTTCCCTCGCTTTGGGCACTATATACTAATGATGGAGTTCCAGAGGTTATCAGGAAATTTCCCTCGCTTACATTTCGGTCTCTTACAATTTCCACTACCAATTAATAAACTAAATTACTTATTTATTTACTGAGTTCTGAAATCTTATTAACATTAGAATTTTCTCCCTATTACTCTGCATATTGCAACCAACTGATCTACGGCCTGATAATGTGATAGCTGCTGGTATCCAGAAACACTACTACCCTCAAACAAACGCAATGACTCGAACCACGGGACAGACATATTCAAAAACAGCTGCAACTGACTACAATTAGTGACGTCGAGTGGATGGAAAATCATTCAGTGGATGCTACCGAATACCTGGAACCATACCAAAAGCATAATAATCGAGGTCAAAGATATCAACTGGTTTATACTAGCTCATGAAACGGATATTTGATATGGGACTCAGTTACAGTTCCCTACCCCTTTCTGCTGCCAGCGACTACTGTTATGTTTAAAAAAGCTCTAGAGTTTGAACTCCTGGAAATTAATAGTTATAAGAAGCTTTTGTTTTCCAACTAATACTACCTCGGTTGTTTTTATTCACTGATTAGGATTCTTATCTCAGCTTACTGTTCAATTAGAAGGTCAGTTAGAATGGAAATACGTATCGTTGCCTGCAGCGTTTGTGGTAGAGGGATTTCAGAGGATCAGGCTATATACTGGTATAGTTAATAAAAGTTCCATCAATTGCAATAAGCTCCAAATGTGAAGCATTATTTTACTGCAGTGACAAATGCAGAACTGCTGACTGGATATCCCTAAACAATCCTGATCATAGTCATCAGCTCTGGTGTAGTAAAATGAAAGATATAATGAACTTCGAACCATTTCTTCGGAAACTACCCTTTACTTTCGCTCCCAGTAGGTTACATATGCTACCGACGGATTACAGTAGTAACTACTGCTGCAGATTTTTCGTGGATTAAAGCAGACCAAATTCTCTCGTATTTTGGAGTAAATCGACACGGCCTCTGGAAATACGAGTTTTGTTCTAATTCGCATTCACATTGCGTCCAGATTTCTCCAGGTAGGTTGCGTCCATTGATCTCATTAAATCACCATCAGCTATGTTACCCCTTCGTGCGCTCTTCATCCATTTGTTTTTCTTTAATGCTTACTGATGTACTGACTTGAAAATACCCATTGCTATTTAAGTTCTTGACGTACATGGATTCTCGCGAGACTAGTGAGGATCTCTCCATAGTAATTTGAAATTTTTCGGAGAGAACCTTAGATCAAGGAAACTTCGGGAGTTTTAGTTGCATTTCTCTCATCATTCCTAACAGCGCATCTCAAGAATTAAGGCATCCTCAAGGTCAAGAGATTAAATATTTGAATCAGCATTCGTTAAAAAGCTCAAAACATTTAGAAAGCATTCTACAAATGAGTCAAGTTTATTATCTAGCGTTACTCTTGAATGTCAGTGATGTCTGACATTTAGTTTACGTTTATTCGATCAAATGGCCCAGTAAAACCGTTAAGTAAACCTGATCATAAATTTCCGAAAGGGACAGGACATGTAACATGCATACATTTTCTTAGCTTTCACTCCACTTTACAACATAAGCTGAAGTACGTGCAATCGAAGAACGTTACCATAACCGTAAAAGTATTAAACGTCGGTATTTTTAGTTGTCTAATGTAGATTGACAGTAAATATTTCCAGTGGAATCGATGGAAAAATAAAAATTAGTTTGTAGACGAAATTCTTAACGTTATTTCATGGAAGTCCCTGTAATCTCACAATTATTAGTTTTCTCTTCTCTCTTGTTAAAACCAGCTGTGTCCACTAATGATGTTAACTTTCATAACTCCTGGCCGCATTTTGTTACAGACACTAATGTCGCTAATTCGTCTTGAGATTTCACCTTACTCGTGTTACAAAATCTGTAGCTGTAAGGTATAAATATTCTTAATTTACCTTTCCCTAGATTCTGTATGCTTCATTGTCATCTTCTTAGTCCCTGTAAGTTTATTTATGTCTCTCCGAATTTCGCCACTCTCTTTTTCCTCGTTCCTTAAATATCATACCAACCAGTTGTGGACAAAAGAATATATATCGGGAAAGCCGAGGAAACACTTAAAGATCAAAGCGTCTATAAGCCAATAAACAAATCTAATCAAAAGGTTCAACAACTAAGTCTCAAAAAATTTTTCAAAGTAGGACTGATATCAGAACAAGATTAGTGGTGGATAAAACTGACTGTACTAGTGCTTCCTTGATTATACGGTGGAGAAAAACTACGCAAACTCAATATCTCACTACGTCCAATCGTATCACTTCGCGAAACCCAATTATGCAATTTATCGAGTGAAACTTCAAGAATATTAAAGCATTTAACTGATCCAGCCAATCACTCTACTAAGTCTCCCATACGATTCTTGGATAATGTTAAGGAGATAAAAGCACCAAAGACGAACTAATCATATTCTTTGACAGAATAATCATATTCACCTCAATCGAACTACCATTAGCAAAGGAACGTCTATCCATGCTCCTCCCAAAGTACACAAAGCCTCAAAATCAAGATTTTATAGAACACCGATTTATGCTTCACGATGTATTTGCGATTTAATAATGAAACCAGAAAACAAACAAAAATAACTCCAGTTGGATCACGGTTGTCGAAACTTATAGCAGAAGCAGTGATGTAGAGACTAGAAGCTTCGATTTTACCAGTAATCAAGCCAAAAATGTGGGTTCTTTATGTATACAACACGTTCGTCATCATCAAAAGGGACGAGCTGGAGAACATATACAATCTGATCAATAGCGTCTTAGATGGCATAACATTCACATTGGAAAAAGAGTCAATGAGTTATTATTACTGAATTTATTAATCACCAGAACTGACACAGGAAAACTGGGAAATCAAGTGTATCGGAAAATAAGCCACATAGATCTAACTCATCTACAGTAGCATCAATCCAAAAACTTACAAAATCGACTGCGCAAAAACTTTATTCAATAGGGCAAAAGTAAATTTCCGCACACAAAGTACGAAAAAACTCAGAAAAATGTCTGATAACTGTCTTTCGGAAGAACGGCTATCCACTCAACTTCACCAAAAAATATCAAACCAACTCATCGGTGGTAAAGAAATCAAACATGGAAGCCAACAAACAAATCGTCCTACTGTATATAAGACATCAAAATTACGAGATTATTGAAGCCATTCGGAACAGATGTATCACACAAACCAGAAAAATCATTTCAATCTATCTCATGCGAACCAAAGGATGGAATGATGAAAGAAAACTAAACTGTTTAAACTTCAAAATACAATATATCAAACTAAGTAGACACCCCCTTCACCTATATGAACATCGGTTCAACTGAAATATATTATTTGCTAAAAGGCTGGCTGAAATAATAGAGACTGAATGTAAAGTGCATCAACTAACGTCATCAGAAACTATAAGAATCTCTATAAAGCCACGACACTAATCAAGGTAGAGTGGTAATAATAATATTCATATTATCCTGCCTTAATTGTTGTCCTGGCTTTATTTACATTCATGAGGAAAACAAACTGCCTGAAGTTATAAGAATTGTTCATTCTTTTAGTTATTTTCGCAATAGGGAAATATTTTTTCAGAAAAAATCCAAGTAATAAGTATGAAAAAAGATATTTTATAAACTTATAAAAACAAAATCTACATGGTCTGTATAGTGCTCACTAGAATCATATTAGGGGCATAAATTAGTAGTTTACATAACTAATGCGATAAGTTAAGTAGGATAAGAATAATATTGGGGCATGAAATAATGATATCACTCACCTTATCAGTATGTATAATCTTTAGAAGTGAAATCCCTAAGACCACGCAATGCTGATAGCCACATAACTCCATAAAATCGTTACTGATCTGGTTAGTATATCGAAGCATATATATTCTTGTTGATGTTCTTAAGGGCTGAATAAAGCTACACAAATGTATACATTGTCCCAATCCTGACTATCACAGTATCCTAAACTTATTCGTCCTACAATCACTCATGTTTTTCTCTTGTTTTACGATTCTTCTGTCATTGAATTATGTAGAAGCATATCAGGTATGTAGTCTACCACATTATTCTTTCTGTTAAATACTAAGTTCTAAAACAAGACTTGCACATCAGCTTCAGTTAATTTTGTTGCTTTCCATCACTATAAAATCATCCTAGTTCTCAGAATTATTTAATTGTCGATAGTTTTATCAGCTTTTGAAAAGATAATCCTCTTTCTTTTATGTCGCATGAAAAGATTGATTTAGTCGAATGAGTCATAAACTTTCAAGACCTTTACGTATGACGATGTCAACATTGGTAAAGCATTTCCATCTGATAAATCAATGATTCCACGTTAAAGATAATTAAACACAACTTTACTTAACTTGTTAATCGTTAAATTCTAGGTGGTGATCTCCCACTTTATTCGGATTTGTGGACAACCACCAACATGGATTCTGAGAAAATCGCGCCGGTCATTTCATCCTCCTCTGCATCCTATGAGGATGCTCTAATTCGGGCATTTGTGTCCCCATCACTCGCTGTAATTATGAGTTTATCTCCATCATGTAACTCTCCTGCTCCAGATCTTGAAGAGCCAACGTTAGTGAATATTAATTTGCGTGATTGGCTTGACTACTACAAGTGGCGAGGTCTTTGCTCTCCAGATGAAGAAAGTCTTTCAAATCCTCTTGCCTTGTTACTTCACTGGCCTCTTACTCTTTATCATATTGTCGCACACAAGCTTCCACAAATAAGTGAGTTTTCTTATCAAACTTTCAGTTTTATGCTTTTTTCATGTAGTTATAATTCTTGCAACTTACTGATTGCTCTAGAATAACAATAACATTCATAATAAAGTCCAGTAGTTTGTGCCATATCACTGGCAATGGCTAGTTTAATGTCTATTAAAGTCGAACATTCTTCTCTCATAGTGTTGTTGGCTGTCAGTTTTCCCGACCGAAGCTGCTACCTTGACGTGGTGGTCGGGCTTGCCTATCGTGATGACCCAACCGAGCTATACTGGCTGGAACACATGTTCCTGCAGGTCCTACCATGCCAGACAGGTCGATTGGAGAACGATGAGACTAAAAGCAGCTACCCAAGGTCTGAGGGCGAAGTCGTACTGCTGACTGCAGAGGGGTGTGACAGCAGTAAGGTGTTTCCCTCGGACAACCAGCATCTGCAGCGATGCTGCCTTCTCACAAGGAAGGAAGGGTTAGAAAAGGTCGGCCCTAAAAATGTCACACCTCCCCTACCTCACGGATTTCCGTCTCCTTGGGTAAGGGTGCCCACTAAGGGCCTTTAAGAACGGAGCTAATCCTCTAAATACCTCTCATAAAAAGGCCGTGCGTGACCGGCCTGAAGCAGTTGTCCCTTGGACTCTGCGGTCACGCACCAACACTAATCCATCTTCCTTTTCAGGTTCGTCAAGAAACAACCTTCCACGGTGTGGGCAGCCGGGAAGTGATAACCGCCCTCATACCCGCAACAGCACACGCGACAAAATTGTTCAAAATCAAATCCTTCCTACATTCCCTAATACCTCTCCTATCTCCACGACTAACTCTTCTCACATTCATTTATTACAGTGCACAGCTAATGCAAACGATGCGAGTTTGCGAAACGTCGTTCCTGGTCTCCTTAAACCCCGTTCCAAACTACATGTTGGAGCATTCAATGTACGGACATTGTGTCAAATAGGGCAACAGGCGTCATTAGCTAGGACTTTAGAATCTCGTTCCATCGATGTGTGCTGCGTCTCGGAAACGCGCATACAGGATCCGAGTAGCATCACTCATTTGACCTCACCATGTCAAGATAAAGAAGCAGCTCGATTTACCCTTCGTGTATCCGGTAGCCCTGATGCTGCTTCTAGGGGCCTCGCCGGTGTAGGTATAGCATTGAGTCGTAGGGCAGAACAATCTCTCCTTGACTGGATCCCTGTAGATAGTCGCTTGTGCGCCGTCCGACTGAACGGGACAGTAAGGACTCGGAAAGACAGGGACACTCGCCGTTGCCTCTTCGTCATATCAGCCTACGCCCCCACTGACTGCAGCCCAGATGATGTAAAAGATGAGTTTTACAGAAAGCTTTCGGACCTCCTCCAAAAAGTTAAGCGCTCTGATATAGTAATAATGGCTGGTGACTTCAATGCACAAGTAGGTAGACTAAGTGAGCAGGAGAGACACCTAGGTGGATGTTACGGTCTCGCGGCTCAAAGAACAGACAATGGCGACCGTCTGTTGCAACTGTGCTCAGATAACCAACTATTTCTAGCAAACACTAATTTTAAGCATAAGGAAAAACACCTTTTGACCTGGCGACCCCCGAAGTCGTCTCAACGTTGGACCCAACTAGATCATATCGCCATCAGCCACCGATGGAGGGGTTCGATAGAGGACTGTCGCGATGGAAAAGGCAGCGGCGATAGGCAACACTAGACAACTTTTCCGCCTTATCAAAGAAACCGGTATTAGGAACCCGAATGTAAGTGAGACTATCTCGGAAAAGGATGGTCTTATTATCCATTCTCAATCTAGGAGGCTGGACCGATGGGCAGAACACTTTAAGGATCAGTTCAACTGGCCTTCAGCCACTCTTCGGTTGCCCACGATCTCCAGTCATCCTGAATGGCAAATCGATTTAAGTCCTCCCAGTTTACATGAAGTTGAGAAAGCTATAGGAAATCTAAGGAGAGGTAGAGCGGCAGGTCCCGATAGGCTTACCCCTGAGATGTTTAAGGATGGCGGTCCAGTTTTAACGGTTAACTTACCGAGATCCTAGGTAGAATCTGGGAAATGGACGTAATCCCATCTGACTGGACTCAGTCGCTAATTGTCCCAATCTACAAGAAAGGACAGAAGTCCTCTTGTGACAATCACAGGGGAATAAGTCTAACTAATATAGTATCTAAATTGTTAGCCTCCATTATACTTAGACGCCTAACTAGAGCTCGTGAAGAGTAGACTCGAGAAAACCAATCTGGTTTTCGACCTGGACGTGGTTGTATAGACCACATCTTCACACTACGACAGGTCCTGGAACACAGACACACATTTAGGCGTCCGACAATAGTCGTGTTCCTGGACCTTAAGGTGGCATTCGACTCAGTGGATCGTGAGGTTCTGTGGCAGTGTCTGTCATTGAAAGGTGTACCAAATAAGTACATTAACCTTATACAAGCACTCTACTCGAACACCACTGGTCGGGTGAGAGCATATGGCGAACTGTCACCGGAATTCTCTACATCAAGTGGTGTCCGTCAGGGCTGTCCACTCTCTCCATTCTTGTTCAACTTTGTCGTAGACATCCTCTTAGAGTTAACATTAAGCTCGTCAGATTTTTCAGGGGTTGACCTTCTACCAGGAAAGTCGCTTACTGATCTAGAATATGCCGATGACATAGTTCTATTCGGTGAAGACGCTGACAAAATGCAGAGTCTTCTGACTACCATAAGCAAAATTGCGAGCATGTTCGGGATGCGGTTTTCTCCCTCGAAATGCAAAATGTTGCTTCAAGACTGGGTTGCATCGGCACCTGAACTAGTGATAGGGAGTGAAATAGTCGAGCGTGTAGATCACTTCACTTATCTTGGGAGTCTCATCAGTGCTGACGGTCTGGTGACTGACGAAATCTCAGCTCGGATACAGAAAGCTCGATTGGCTTTTGCCAACCTGCGTCACTTATGGCGTAGGCGTGATATCCGTTCGCTAACCAAAGGGCGGGTGTACTGCGCAGCAGTTCGTTCCGTTCTCTTATATGGCTGTGAAACATGGCCGTTAAGAGTAGAAGATGTTCGTAGGTTACTAGTATTCGATCATAGATGTTTAAGAAGCATTGCTCGTATATCGTGGGACAGCCGAGTAAGCAATGCTGTCGTTAGGAAACGAGTACTAGGTAAGGATGGCAGATCAATCGATGAAGTGGTGAAACTTCATCAGTTGAGGTGGTTGGGACATGTGTTACGTATGCCTAACCACCGACTGCCTCGACGAGCTATGTTTTGTGGTGTAGGAGTAGGTTGGAAGAAAGCTAGGGGCGGCCAGACCAAAACATGGCAGAAATCCATGAAGTCACTGACAAATGGACTGAGTCATGTTGGTAGATGTAGGCTACCTGGTTGGGGTCCGCGAGACGAAAGTCATCAATGGTTAGAGACCTTGAACGACATGGCTCAAAATCGTTTGCAATGGCGTAGGTGCATCCACTCTTTGAGCTCTCTCAAATCCTAATCTTCTGGATTAGCCAGCACCTCTACCTTTGTCTTTCTAACCTTATCTCACTGAATTATATTTTTTGAATAATATCTTAAACCCTAGTCTTCTTTATTATAACATTAATACCTCTACCATCTTTATCACCATGGGATGTGATTTGACATTTGCGTCTCTGTGCTAATAATGTGGTATGGCAACATGAACTTATGTACATACGTACGAAGTTCTACGTTGCAACTGACTGACTGACTGACTCTCATAGTGTATTTCTGTGGATCTTTTGTTTCATTTACTCATACAGTCACTGTTGATCCCCACTAAGAAACCACCAGACAAAGCGATTGCTAATAGTTTTTCGCTTACTTTTATCGGACTAACTTATTAATGTAGCACCTAGGATATGAGCTTTCATAAACACTCGGTTCGTAAATAGATTTTAGGACAGAAACTCCGAAGAAGTCAGTCGAGCTCTAATTTGGTCGATGAATATTTGCTTTTCATCAGTATGTACATACTAAAGTCCTTCGTATCTGTATTTCATTTAATTTTGCCATTCAACCCCCCTGGATGCAAATGTTTGGCTGTATTATTGGGAAAGCGTATAATTAGAGACTGAAGCTACATCTAAAGTTGTCTGGTTTCTTAGTCTTTTGTTTCGTTTTTTCAGACTAGCTTTTAAAGATGTCTTATTGCCTTTCAGGATTTTATATAGAAACTCTCCTACTTGCTAGATTTCCAAGAAAAGTACAGTCCTATTTCTAAACACACTAATATGATGAAGTCTTTCAGATTCCTTATGTGTCTAATATATGTTAAATCGCCTCCATATGTATAATATTTCTTTAGTGACGTGACTCTCAAAATTTTCTTCTTTCCCCAACTTTTATCATTTGTGGCTCAGTCGGTATTTTCGGTAGCTCATCGAAAGTGCAGACCAAAGTACGACGTCAGTCCGTGGGTTTACTAATGGCTATATCAAGTTGTCCAAAGAGAAAAACTATTTATTTTGACTCCACGAGACAACCATAATAAATCAATTAAGACTATGTGAGTCAGTAAGTCACTTGCAACATTGAACTTCGAACCATATCCGGAAAATGCGAGCATTGTTGCTTAAGATGATCAGAAGACTCTGCACGTTGTCAGTGTCTTCACCAAATAGAACTGTCATTGGCATATTCTAAGTCAACAAGCGAGTCTCCTGGTAGAAGGTCAACTCCTGAAAAGTCAGACGATGAGAGTGTCATCTCTAAACGCATGTCAACGACAAAGTTGAGCAAGAATGGAGAAAGTAGACAACCCTTACGAATATAACTTGAAGTAATCACTTATGATGACAGTTCTCCATATGCTCTGACTCGATCCGTAGAGAGCCTGTAAAAGTTTAATGTACTTATTTGGTACTCCTTTCAGTGACAGACACTGCCATAGAACCTCATGATCAAAAGAGTCAAATCCCGCCTTATGGTCTAGGAATAGCCCTATTGTAGGACACCTAAACGTATATCTATGTTCCAGGACCTGAAAAAGTGTGAAAA